CTCCCCTCTGGCCTCGGACTCCTACGTGGTCTGATGCTAATCCCATGACACTGCCTCTCAAGGGGAGAGGACTCCGCTTGAGTGCTCCCCACAGATAGGCCTAGGCCGGCTCCTCTACTCTACTGCCTGCCTGGGATGACCTGCCACCCAGGCACAGGGAGCTCCTGGTTCAGCTGCTTAAGGAGCACTTGACATTTTGAGACCACAAAAGCAAGTAGGATAACTTCACTTTTTTTTTTTTTTAGGATCACACATTGTAATTTATTTTCTAGACTGCTTATTTTTTATTTTGTCTGAATCAACTTTCCTTCTAAACCAGAATTCCTATGAACAGAGTCATAGACTAGTTTTTATTTTTGTTTTTGGTGTAACTAGGGTTTGAACTCAAGTCTTCATGGTTTCTTTTTTCTTTTTTTTTTTGGAGATGGGGGTCTGTGTGTGTGTGTGTGTGTGTGTGTGTGTAGTATTGGGGTTTGAACTCAGGGCCTACACCTTGAGCCAGTCCACCAGCCCTTTTATTGTGTGAAGTATTTTTTTGAGATAGGGTTTCATGAACTATTTGCTTTGAACCTCAATCCTCCTGCTCTCTGCCTCCTGAGTAGCTAGGATTACAGGCGTGAGCCACCACCACCTGGCTGAGATGAGGTCTGCTGACCTATTTGCCTAGGCTGCAATCCTCCTGATCTGCCTCTCAAGTAGTTAGGATTACAGGCATGAGCTGAGCCACTGGTGCCCAGTTACTTCTTATTTTTAAACTTGAAGTTACATCATGATAGCTTATAAACAAGTTGTGGCAAAATCCTTATGTCATAAAAGGTACTATCATAACCATTTTTGTTTTTAATTTTTTTTGGCAGTACTGGGGTTTGAACTCAGGGTTTTGTGCTTGCTAGGCAGGTGCTCTACCACTTGAGCCACTCCTCCAGCCCTTTTTGTTCTGGTTATTTTGGAGATAGGGTCTCCTTTCATCTTTTTGGATCAAAATGCTCCTATTTTCAGCCTCCCTTGTAGCTTGGGATGACAGGTGTACAACACCACACCCCAATTTTTTCTTTTCAGGCGGGGTCACAGGAACTTTTTGCCCTGGCTCTGGCTGGCCTCCAATTGAGATCCTTCTGATCTCAGTCTCACAAGTAGCTAGGATTGCAGTCAGGAGCTACCAGCGCCCTGCTTTTTTCTATTTTCTTTCTTTCTTTTTTTTTTTTTGTGGGCCTGGGGTTTGAACTCAGGGCTTCCCACTTGCAAAGCAGGTGCTCTACTGCTTGAGCTACACCTCCAGTCTTTTTTTGTTTTAGTCCTTTTTTTTTTTTTTTTGAGGCAGGTTGTAGCTATATAATGTAGGTGTGCTGGAATTACAGTTGTGTGCCATAATACCCAGCTCCATCGTAACTATTTTATAGTGTATGATCAGTGGCATTAGTTACATTCAGCCCTTGTTTTTTTTTTTTTGTAATAACCATAATAATAGCAAACACTAATAATGAGCGGCCATCCCTTGCCAGGCCCTGCTGCATGTTCATTAGCCCACTGAGTCTACAGGGCAGGGAGGCAGGGCTGTTCCTCTCATTTCCATTTTACAGAGGAGGACTCTGAGGTTCACAGAAAGTCTGAGTTCACACAGAGGAAGTGGCAGTGCTAAGATCATCACCAGTGATAACCCTTGGAGTTCTTTGTGCCCTGTGAAGGTGGGGAGTCAGGATTGGAGTGAGGTTCCCGGATGACCAGAAGATGAAGATTGGTCATGGGTGGTATGGGGCCTGAGGTGGGGGTGAAGGTGTCTGTGGATCCATTACTTGATTATAAATAAACTTAAAGTTCAATGCACCCCAAGTAGGTAACAATGTCAGAGTGAGGACTGAGTCTAGTGTCCAGGTTGTGGGAGGGAAGCATGAGGCTGAGGCTGGCCCATGAGCCCTCCTCCATCCCACAGCTCTGCATGCCCATGACCCTGTCTTTAGGAGTGTCACACATTCTCCCAAAATGCAGGTGAGCAGAGGTGGGATGAGGGCAACAGGGTGGGCCAGCCGTGTGTTGGGGGCAGGCTGGGAGTGTGACTTTTGCCCCCTTCCAGGCCTTGGCCAGAAGTCTGGGCCTTCAGATGCCAGTGGTGCTGCAGAGCATGTACATCTTTAAGGTGAGCCCTGCGTCCTCCCTAGGCCTCGGTTTACCCTGTGTGAAATGGGCAGACTGTGCATACAAAGCAGTTTCTCACCTTTGGCCAAGAGCTGCAGGAATTCTTGCTAAGTCAAGTTGGTCTCTGACTAAGGGGCCTCACGCTTAGTTGATGCTCAGTTAAAATTCGGTGGTGAGGAGGCAGAGATCAGGAAGATCACAATTTGAAGCCAGTCCCAGGAAAATAGTTCCATGAGATCCTATCACGAAAAAAAACCTATCACATAAAAAGAGCTGGCAGAGTGGCTCATGGTGTAGGCCCTGAGTTCAAACCCCAGTGCTGCCAAAAAAAACAAAAAAATTTGGTGGTGAGGAAAGAGGGGATCCATAGGACTCCCTGTTCCGCTCTTTGGTATTGAAATACTCTACCTTCTCTAAGAAACCTTCTAAATCCCTGGGGAAATAGGGATTTAGCTCTGGTTTTGGGGCAGAAAGGCTCAACCTCTGGCCTGTCATAGCTTGTCCTTCTGGCCCTCACTTGGTTCTGCTTGGTGATCTTGTTGGGAAGGTGTGTGCTGTCTCCCTTATAGACTGCCAGCTCCTGCTGGGCGGGTGGTTTCTCTTTGCATCCCTCCTGGGCCTGGCACACAGGCCAGCGGTAGGTGTGCTCAGTTACTGGGTGTTGATGTGGAACCAGGTAGCCAGGGTGGCAGCTCCCTGCAGGTGTCAGATTCAACCCTGCTCCTCCTGCTCTCTTCTGTTCTCAGTAGGCCCTTCCCCTCTCTTGCAGCAACCTCACTTTGGCGGTGAAGGTGAGCTAAAAACAGGCTCCAGGGCCCAGCAAAGGCCATGGGTGGAGATCCAGGACATCAGTGGTGGTCAGGTGTTTGGAGGAAGGGAAGGCGCTTTCTGCAATTTCTGTGGGGAGGAGCCTGGGCCCTGGGAGGAAGAGCCACCTTCCATTCCTGCCTACAACAGGACTGGGAGGAAGCCCTTGAGACTTCAGCACAGAGTCCCCAAATCTCACAGAAACCCTTAGCTGCTTAGAAATACAGATTCTTCACCAGGCGCCAGTGGCTCACGCCTGTAATCCTAGTTACTCAGGAGGCAGAGATCAGGAGGATCACAGTTGGAAGCCAGCCCAGGCAAATAGTTCATGAGACCCTACCTCGAAAAAAACCTATCACAAGAAAAGGGTTGGTGGAATGGCTCAAGTGGCAGAGCACCTGCCTAGCAAGGTTGAGGCCCTGAGTTCAAGCCCCAGTACTGCCGAAGGGAAAAAAAGAAAGAAAGAAATACAGATTCCTCAACCCCATTCCTAAGATCTTCAGCTAGAAGGTCGGCACAGGCCTGGAAATCTGTATTTTAGCAGCTCTCTGGAGGATCAGTTAAGCATGGAGTTCCCTGATCTGTTCCACAGCCTATGGGATGCACAGATAGCATTAAAGATTGCATGGTGGGCAATTAGCCATTTCTGCTCAGGTGACAGAGAGCCCCTTACTGGCAGCCCAAATCTGCCTCCTGTGACTGCCCTGTCTTCCCTGAAGGATGGCCGACCCCCTCCCTGCATCCACTGTGTCTGAGTCCAGCACCCCCAGCTGATTCAGCCATTGCCCTTCCAAAGACTTTGGAGCCCCACCATCAGAACCCTCCTCTGGACCCTTTTGGGGTTCCCAGTGTCCCTCTTGAAGTTCAGTGTTTAGAGTACACACAGTTACCCAGAAAAGGTGCAGGTGAGATCGGCACCCTCATTATTTTGTTACTGTCAACTAAGCTCCTTTGTCCATTGGTTCTCCATCCTGGCTGTGCCCCAATATCATACAGGGAGGTTCTAAAAAATGGATGCTTGGTCATAATCATCCTTCTGCTTTGCCCCCAACTTCCCAATCTTTTTTTTCCTGTACTACTGGGGATTGAACTCAGGGCCCTGCACATGCTAGGCAAGTGCTCTACAAATTAAACTACACCTACAGCCTTTTTTTTTTGGGGGGGGGGTGCTAGGGTTTGAAGTCAGGACCTTGTGCTTGTGTCAGTTTTTTTGTTTTGTTTTTGGAGACAGAGTCTCATTATTTTTGCTTAGGCTGGCCTGAAACTCTGGTGTCTGTCTCCAGTGTAGCTGGAATTACAGGAGTGAAGCACCATGCATGGCCTAACTTCCAAATCTTTTCTTTTTTTCTGGAGGTACAGGGGTTTGAACTCAGGGTCTACACCTTGACCCACTCCACCAGCCCTTTTTTTGTGATTTTTTTTCGAGGTAATTTCTCCTAAATATTTGCCCAGGCTGGCTTTGAACTGTGACCTCCTGATCTTTGCCTCCTGAGTAGCTAGGATTATCATGTGAGCCACTGGCACCTGGCTCAGCTCAACTTCCCAATCTTATGCCACTGGGTGGGCAATCTGGTGACTGGAATCTGTTCATCCCCAGTTAAGAATAGTAGCTTTAGGTGCCGATGCCTCACACTTGTAATCCCAGCTACTCAGGAGGCAGAGATCAGGAGGATCATGGTTTGAATCCAGCCTGGGCAAATAGTGTGTTGAGACCCTACCTTGAAAAAAACTTATTAAAAAAAAAGGGCTGGTGGAGTAGCTCAAGGTGTAGGCCCTGAGTTCAAGCCCCAGTACCACACACGCAAAAAAAGAATAGTAGCTTTAGTTACCCAGCTGGGATTAAGCAATAGCAGCTATTTTTTAGCAGTCACAGGGTTGGACCCTATACTAAGCATTCTACTACTCCTCCAGCAACCCCTTGAGGTAGGTTAGAGTTGGGGTCATTTTACAGTTGAGGAAATGAAAGTTTTGAGAGGTGAAATGTCTTGCCCAGAGTCCCTGCACTAGGAAGTGGTGAAAGTGTAACTGGTGATAGGAAGGCTTGCCTTGAGGGCTCCACTAGGACTAAGGAGTGGGAAATGGGGCAAGGTGAGGTGGGGCCAGGCTCCTCACCCCCTGGCGGTTCTGCCAGTCTCCCCTCACCAGGATGCCTCCTTTCTGTACACGGAACCCCTGGGCCGGGTGCTGGGCATGTGGATCGCAGTGGAGGATGCCACGCTGGGGAACGGCTGCCTCTGGTTCATCCCTGGCTCCCATACCAGTGAGGACCCTACTTTTCCTTGTCCACCCTGCCCCCACCCTGCTCCCCCCTCCCCCAGAGAGAGGGACCTGGTGCAGAGGGGGGCTAAAGGCTCATCTTGGCCTGTAGGTGGAGTGTCGAGAAGGATGATCCGGGCCCCTGCTGGCTCAGTGCCTTGTACCAGCTTCCTCGGGTCAGAGCCAATCCGTGATAATAGACTGTTTGTGCCCACACCAGTGCGGAGAGGTAGGAAGGACATACAGCACAGGGAAGCAAGGGACCGTGCCCGAAGATCTGCGCTTAATCTACCACCTAGTGTCTACAAGGCTCCCCTGATGCCACCTGAGGGCTGTGAAGTCACAAAATGGGAGAGGTGGGGCTGGTAGGGCACTGGGAAGTTAGGAAGCAGTGTGGTTACCAGCAAGTTCTCCCAGACTGCTATTTATGGGCAAATGATTGGATCTCAGAGCCCCATTTCCCCCGAAGGTAATGTGGATAAGCAGTGAGATGCTGTATTAAGATGTTTACAGAGAATCCAGGAGGCCCACAGCAAGTACTAAATGAATGCCAGGAAATAGTGCCTGCTCTTCCTTATGGAAAAGAGAACACTGAGGTCCCACTTAGTGTCACCAGGAGGTCCCAGCTGACTGGCATAGTACAGAGGGCTTCTCCCTGACCCAGCCTACACAAAGGGAGGCCCTTTGTAAGCTTGCCTAGCAAAGCAGGCCACAGTTGAAGGGATTTGATCCAGGGGAACCCATGTGAAATGGTGTAGTCTGAGATCCTGGAGCACGCTGCAGGTGCTGGAGCGTCCAGGGATGGGAATGGAGATGGATGGGGACACAAAATGATCAGAGAAAGGAAGGCTATATCCCTTTTTGCCCTGGGAAGAAGGAGGCTGTGCCGTGCAGATGGTGTTCTCTGGCTCATGTCCCCTCCAGGGACCTTGGTCTTGATCCATGGAGAAGTGGTACACAAGAGTGAGCAGAACCTCTCAGACCAATCACGCCAGGCCTACACTTTCCACCTGATGGAGGCTGCTGACACAGTCTGGAGTCCAGAGAACTGGTAGGTGGCAGGGTGGGGCCATGTGCCCCAGACAGTTCCCTGAAGAGGCCCTGAGGGCTGGGGGAGTAATGGTCCTGGCTGCTCAGTGTCACTTCATCCTCTGCAGGCTCCAGCCGACAGCTGAGCTTCCCTTTCCTCCACTGTACACCTAGAGGCCCTTGCAGAGCTGGTGTGGTCCCCTCTGGGTGAAGCTGTGGACTGTCAACACCAGAGCCTCCAGCCTGCAACTGAGTCACATCCCCCTCCTGGGCTTTCCTTCTGCAGACATGCAGGAGAGAGGCAGAAGTGACAGGGCACAGCCCCGGCGGGGTGGGAGACTTCCCGATATCTTTGTCTCTCTGCCACTCTACTGCTCTTTGAAGTCGCCTCCTGGCTGTAGAAAGGTTCTGGTCAGTTCTCATTTTTCTCTCAGGTGGTACTCTGAATAGCATGGTATAACACACTTAATAAAAACGACTTTCCGATGCAGCTTCTCCATCAATCCTTCTTTCCCAAGCAGCCTTGCTGTCTGGATGAGAGCCTGGTGTGTGGTTTACATGATTTTATTTTGTTTTTTGAACTCAGGGCCTCATGCTTGCTAGGTGGATGCTCTACCGCTCAGGCCACTCCACCAGCCCTCCATGATTTTAATAACTGAGTAACATTAGTGGGCACTCACTAAAGCTCTGTGCTGCACGTTTTACCCTATCTCACTGAATCCTTACATGGTTATCTGTGTTTACAGACGAGGGAGCTGAGTGAAGCAAAGGGCCTGAGTCACACAGCTGCTCATTTGTCCAGCAGGGTCAGCCCCATCCAGGACTAAGCTCTTAGCCCCTATATGCCCGGTCCTCTGCTGGGAATGGGAAAGAAGCCCAGGGTGAGGAACCAGTCCTGGGTTGTGACTTTGCCTTTGAGGCCAGCCTGCTCTCTGGTCTCAGGCCAGGCCATTCCTTTCTTAAGGCCCATTTTCCTACCTGTGCAACAAGGGGGCCAGATTAGAGCCTTCGAGGGCCACTGCTGCTTGGGCATGCTTGGAAGGCAGTCAGACCTTCTGGAAGAACTAACAAATTCAAAACCTGGTTAGCTGGCCCAAAACTTGCAAGCTGGGATCTGCTGGCTGATTCCAGTCTGAGTATGTATTTTGTCTGGACCTCAATGTTTTTATAACTTTTGGGCTGGGGGTGGGCTCAGTGGTGGGGCATTTGTCTAGCATGCATGAAGCTAGGTTTGATCCCTAGTAATGCAAAAAACAACCACAACGAAAACTTTAAAACTCGTAATAATCCAGGCTTCTAAGCTTCCTTGAATGAGTGGGAAACTGAAAACATTGGCTCAACACATTAACATCTGTGACTACTGGCTACAACTGCCTTCTTTTCTTCCTTTCTTTTTCTTCAGTAGTGAGGGCCCAGGGCCTTTCACCTGCTAGGCAAGTGCTCTACCTCTGAATACCTGCATCACATCTACACCCTGTATCACCTGCCTGGCTTGGACAGCCATATTTGTGGCCTGGTTTAGTATTCTATCCACTGTACAACCCATAGGAGAGCCTATTCCCAAGGCCACCCAGGGAGTTGGTGGTCAAAATTGGTGCTCTTTCCCTAACATTTGGCCGCCTCCTTTGGTACACAGAAAGGAAGAGGCTGGGAGAAGACAGTCTTTGTTAATCTCCGCTGATCCACCAGAGGAATGTCTCAGTGCTCTGCTCTGAGGCTAAGGGCTTGGCAGTGATTACCAAGCAGAGGCACCACCTCCCTTAGAGCTCCACTCCTGGCTGTTGGCCTTGGTGGTCCAAAGTTCTCATCTCTCCTCCTGCTAGGCTGGGGGAGAACCCTATCTACCGTAGGACTCCTGCTGTGCTGTCTTTCCACTGCTGAAAATGTTCATCCATTCAGTGAACTGTGGAGTTCCTACTAGGGGCCAGGTTCTGTACTAGCCCTGGGGAATGTGATGGGAAACAGGCAGGGAAACAGAGCCTGGCTGGAGCTTTCACTCCTAGTGGAGCCATTTTGAACTTTCAGGCAACTCCGTGGATCAGTCTAGGCTCTGCTACCGGAAGAGACGAATACAAGTTTGGACAGGACTGGAATTGTAAAAGGGTCTTCTCTGACAAGAAATCAATGCTATTGGGCACCTCCTGGTCCATCACTCCTCTCAGTCAGACAGCAGAGGTGGGGTGGGGGTGGCTGAAGCAGGCCCTCAGCCCAGCAGCTGATCCTTTCTTTCCCTCCAGCCCTGCCACACAAGCAAGCTGACCCATTGTTCCCTTCAGTTCTCCCTAGCCTGAGGGGGAGAGACCACACGCACTCACTCACCTCTTTCTCTCTTGGGTTTGAGTGCAGCCAGGAGAGTAAACTCTGGTTTCCAAGTACAGCCCTGTTTTGCCTTTTTGCTGAGACAAGGACTGATCTTGGGTTATAATGACATTTTCCCTTACCAACTGCTTATCATGGGTGGCCACAGGCTGGATACTTCACTCATTGTGTCATCTCACTGGATCCTCCCAACATTCAGTGAGATGTAGGCTGTCATTTTTCTCATCTTACAGACAGGAGACTTGAGACTCGGACTGGAGAAGTGACTCATCTAAGGTCACCCAGTTAAGAAGTCGTGTGGCCAAGGATTCTGACCAGATTAATTTGACACCAGACTGTGAAGCATTAACCATTATGTTCTACCACTCCAAGGTCCACTCTGTTCCCCCACATCCCACCTCACCCCTGAAACTATAAGGAAAGAGGGGGCTCTAGGGCACACTCAAGTTCTCTGAGTTGTATTATCCTTTAGCCTTTTTTCTTGTTAAATATCAGCAGAACTAAAACCAGGAGAGTTTTGCTTTTTTTATTTTAAGTCTGAATCAACTGAAAAACCAAATCTGCCTTTTATCCCTGGACTCATCGTGTCCAAGTGGCTAGCAGCTGTGGGGACCACTCTCCCCACATCCCATTGGCTAAGCCATCAGCAGTATCAGGAGGTAAAGCGGCAATAGGAGATTGTCCATCTGCGTGGTGTATGCTTCCAGGAGAGACACAGCACTGATGGACCCCAAAATCCAAGCATAGCTGTAGTTCAGATCCACTCCACTGTCAAAGATTAAGATCAGAGCCACAGAAATCATCTGTGCAAATATAGATGTCATGGTCCCCTCGAAAGTCTTCTTGGTTCCAGGCCAGCGGATCTCCCCCAGGGTGCTGCCAAAGATGGAGGCCACGGTGTCACCCACCCCCACAGCTAGGACCCCAGCATAGGGGACTAGGGCCCTTGCTCCTCCCAGGCTGCCCTTCTGTGTGCAGGGTCTGGGGATTAGCCAAATGGGAAGAGACATGCCCAGGAGCAGGTAGATGTGTGTCAGGATAAGTGGTCCACTGTCTCGCTCATCCAGGAAAAGTGACAGGAGGCTCCGCAGAGTGTGACCCAAAGGCTTGATGCGGAAGTAGCGTACATACTCCAGGAAGATGAAGACTGCCAAACATACAGTGGCGGCCACGTGGAGCAGAAGCCGGTCAAAAATGATACCTGGAATGTAAGTGGCTACCACAATGAAGTGGAAATACTTTCGAGCGATGGTGGGGGCTTGGTGCTTCTTGGACTCGGAAGATGACCGCTTGGCATTCTGGTAAAACACCACCAGGCAGGCCAAGGTGGCCAGCAGAGACCAGTAGGCTAGGAGGTAGATGCGGGTTTCTGTTTGGAAGAGGAACTGAAGAAGCCAGAGCAGGGGGTTCCTGCGAATGAGCCAGTGCAGCCAGGGGAGAACCACACCAAGGCCCAACACACAGGTCATGAGGTGGAAGAAGATGGAGGAGGCCCAGGTGCCTGAGTCCATGAAGACAAAGAGGGTACTGAAGAAGATACCCGTGAGCACCATTCCCACCACCACCACTAGCAGGAAGAAGTCCTCTGGGTCCCCCTGGCTCTCTACCACAGTCAGAGAGCGCTTGATGAGCTGGTTGAGGACGAAGCTAATGGCACCCAATACCAGCAAGGCCTCCCCAGGCGTGAAGCAGCGGGGCAGAAGGTACAGCAGGATCATGTTGAGATACACAAAGATCAGCAGGACTTCCAGGACCTCGATCACCTCACCCACACCGAGTGAATGCTTCATGATATAAATGATGACGCCTCCTGCCAAACCGGAGATGGCACAAGTGTTGGTGGGCAACGGGCGAGTGATGCCCAGCGCCAACACCGAGGAGAAGAGGGCTACTGCCATGCCAGTGGCTGCCACCACGATGCCAAAACGCTCGAAGTACGGGTTCCCTGCAGCCTGGCAGCGCTCCTTCATGACCAGCCCAAGCAAAGGCATGACCATGGAGGCAGGCAGCAGGCCACTGTTCGCCGATGTGCGGAACTGGAAGACAGCGTTTCCCTGCTGGAGCAGCCGGTCCCACTTGTACTGGACGTAGAAGGCCTGCACTGCGAGAGCCAAGGCGCACCACGAGTATCGGTCCCACACCGCCGCGTGGATGCTCAGCACCACTGCGAACACCACTGCAGCCTCTGCCAGCACCGGCCCGCTCAACGGCGCCCCGGGCTCGGGGGCTGGGGGAGGGCACTCTCGGGTCATGTCTCCAGGCCTGGGGCTCCGGGGAAGCAGGGGTGATTAGGGACGCCTTGGACTCTTAGCCCCTCACCCCGCCAAGGAAAGGGCAGAAGCTTCAGCCAGCAACCTTCTCCAGTTTCGAGGAGGGAGCTCCCACGTAGGTCACTTCGCTGCCCCGGAGCTGGCGCCGGGTCACCCTCCACCTCCTTCAACCTATAGGGTAGACGTCTTCACTCCACTGTCACAGCCTCCACCGCCTTGGCCGCAAATCCCTCACTTCGCCCGGCATCGCCATCTGGGCTCCGCCCCACGACGCCGTCATGTGATAAGTAGCCCCGCCCACACGTCCAGCAAGGGGAGGGGCGCGGTGGATGGTCACGTGGGCGCAGCGTCTGGGGGCGGGGCCGAGGTGCGCGCGCGCGCGCGAAGATGGCGGCGGCCGCCGACGAGCCGTGTGTGAGGTGAGGAGCGGGCCGAGTCGGCAGAGGTGTCTGTGAGGGTCCGGTTGGAAGCTGAACGGGAGCCCGACGAGAGTTGGGAGAGGGATGCAATGGCGGTGGCTGGACGAGTCCCGGCTGGGTGGACGGGCACCGAGACGGGAGACAGTTATAGACCAAACGGTCCCCGCGCGCGCGGATCTGAAGGCACTTCTCCAGCAGTGGGCCGACTGCTGTCCCCTTCCCCTCAGCGCCTGGCCTCGGGTCTCCTTACCCGGGTCCATTTTCCTGCCCTCCGTCTCCCTCCGGCGCGTCCCCCGGCGTCCCCCCCACCCACGCTTCCTTGTCCGGCGCCGACGCTCCCTCGAGGCGCGCCGGGGCACTTAGCTGTCGCCTGCGGGACCCTCACCGGTCCCCCTGCAGTCTCCCCGCGAGCCGCCCGGCCGCGGGTGGGCCCTGCCCGTGCCTCGCGTCCTCCCCTTGGGCTTTCGTTTGGAGTCGCGTTTCGCGTCCCTGCAGTTTTTGCCGTCCTCCTCCGCGCATCTTTCATCGTGCATTGATTCAGCCGGCCGACATGCTCAGGTCCTCCCCGACATTCCGGGCGCTGTACTAGGCTTTTGGGACGAGAAGATGAGTAATTTAAGAAACGAAACACAGTTGTCCCTTGAAGGGCGGTTATTAGCGCCAGGCCCTGGGGAATCGCTTTCCAGGCGCTGTCTCTTCAGTTCTCCCAAGTCCCAGGGGCGCCTCCGTAGGTAGCCCGAGAGCAGGTGAGGATTCAGAGGGAAGGAAGGCTGTCCGACTCCAAAACCATAGCCAGACCACGTCCATCGTGCACCCTCCTAAAGTTAAACGTCCCTGTCACTTCTTGTTGCCTGTGCCAGCAATGTTTTCCCTGCTTTTTTTTTTTTTTTTTTTGGTGGTGGTCAGGGGTTCTACTGGGATTTGAACTCAGGGCTGCACACTTGATAGGCAGGCGCTGTTTGAGCCATGCCTCCAGCCCGTTTTGCTGTTCAGGAGATAGAGTCTCACTTTTTACCCAGGCCGGGCTGGACCGCAACCCTATTTTAAGCGTCCCACGTTGCTGGGATGACAGTTGGGGGTTACCACAGCCAGCTTTTTTTTTCCTGTTTAGGTGGGGTCTCAGAAACGTTTTGCCAAGGCCGGCCTGCCGCCTTGATCTTCTCTATCCTCCCATTCTCAGCCTCCTGAGTAGTTTGGGATGACAAGTGCACTAACCACTGGCAGCTCTTGGTTAAGTTGGGGGTGGGGGGGTCTGTGAACTCTGCCCAGGCTGGCCTCGAACAGTGATCCTTCTGAGTTCAGCCTCTCAAGTAGCTAGAATTACAGGTGTGAGCCAGTGGGCTTCTGGCTTCCCCCTTGCTTTTTTTCTTTTTCCTTCAATGGGACTGGAGTTTGTGTGTGTATGTGTGTGTGTAAAGCAGGAGAGTTTATGGAGATAGAAAAGTGTAAAGTGGGAGGATAGAGCCCCCAGAGTTTGGGCAGGGGGTTTCCCAAGAGAGGGTACCTTAGGACTGGAGTTTTTAATATAGGGCTTTGCTCTTGCAAAGCAGGCGTTCTACTGCTTGACCCACACCTCCAGTCCATTTTGCTCTGGTGTTTTGGAGATGGGTTCTGGAGAATTAATTTGCCTGGGTTGGCCTTCAGCCTCAATCCTCCTTGTCTCAGCCTCCCATGCAGCTGTATCCTAAACATCCAGCAAAATACATAGATGTTGTTTGTTATGTACATTCTCCAGGATCACTTCCTTCACTTTTCAGATTTTCTTTGGAGTTTCCACTGGACAAGGCAGGCCCTCATGAAGACCAGTTTGGGTTTTCCTCCCTTGCTGTTTCATGCCAGCTCTTGTATCAGCAGCTGTGGCCTCTGAACCTTCCTTTTCTTAGGCCTGTTCACTGTGGAACCTGGGTAAAGTTTAGCTACTGCAGGGTAAGGCATGTTCTATACTGAGAGGATTAGAAGGAAAGCAGCTTCATCCACCCAGCCATGTTTGTCAGTATGCTTTGTTGTTGTTGTTGTTGTTGGTATTGGGATTTGAACTTGAGGCTTTGCCCTTGCTAGGTTGTACCACTGAGCACAATGCCAGCCCCTGACACTAGGATTTCTTGGCACTGCTTTGCTCATGGTGTGTGTTAGGAGAGTGGCCTTTCTTTTGGTACTGGAAAGCACGTTCTATAGCAGTTGGAGCTATACCGAGTAGCAGCTTTCTGTTTGAAGTGTTAGGAGGGCTGGACTAAGAAAGCTTTCATTTTATTCCTAGTGCCTGCTGATGTGTAGTTGATCTCACTTTATCATTTTGAGCTCCAACTTCTCCCAATGTGAATCCTTTTCAGAGGAGGATTGAGGTAGCTGTGAAGCATTTTGTTCTTGTAGGAGAGTTACTAGGTGCATTGATGTGAGTTGGTACTGATCAAAATGGAAGAATATTCAACTCACTCAGTTTTGAAAGGTCATTCAGGGTTTGGCAGAAAGTTTGAATATTGGCATTTTTTGGGTCCCTCTTGTGTTCTTCAGTTTGTAGAAACCTGAGAGGTATGTTTTTTTGTTTTTTTGTTTTTTTTTTTTTTGGCAGTACTGGGGCTTGAACTGAGGGCCTCACACTTCCTAGGCTGGCACTCTACCACTTGAGCCACTTCACCAGCCCTTTTTTGTGTTGAATATTTTAGAGATAGTGTCTTGAGAATTTTTTGCCTGGGTTGGCCTCTAACCTTGATCCTCCTGATCCCTGCCTCCTTAGTAGTTAGGATTATAGGTGTGAACCACCAGGGCCTGGCCAGAACTGCAGTTTGAAAAGCTGTTGCTGCTAAGCTTGAATCTGTTTATAAGGGAGTTGTACCTCATCTATGGAGTCAGGTGGGCTATGGCTGCTTCTATTCATTATCTCCATGTGGACTGTAACTGAATTTGTCAAAGGAACTATCTCATTGAGTAGGTTGACTCTCACTTCTTCCCAAAGGACTCAATTGTAGAAACTATTATTCTCTTAACCTCCCAGTAGATTTTGGCCAAAGATTTCCAACCAGGTAGATATTGTTATGTGTCAATGTGAAGTGTTGTGGGCCGGTATCGAGGGTCCTCGCCTTCACAGGCCAGGGAACGGGCTCGTGAGGCAGCTGATTGATTTGTGAGCCAAAGCTGGTATACGAAGTAGGATTTACTATTGAGAAAGGAAAGGCTACAGCTAGAGCAGTGCAGCGGAGCCTAGAAACTGGTGGCTCGCTGCTCAGGTGAAGGCTGGGGCTTTTATGGATGTTTTAACTCTGGATTTGGGTAAGGGTTAGGTGGACTCTTTTCATTGGCTGTGGATTCGTGTTTGCCCCTTATCCGGGGGGGGGGGGG